TGAGGGATGGGACTGAAAATAAAAGAGTCAGTGGAAGAGGAAACCACAGGTTTGAGATCAGGAGCATATTAAGCAAAGAAAGGGATTAATGAAGAAGGGAAGGAGTGATGGAGAGAGGGAGGGGAAAGAAGGGAGGCAAGAAGGAAAGGAAGGAAGGAAAGGAAAGGGAAGGGAAGGGAAGGGAAGGGAAGGGAAGGAAAAGAAAGGAAAGGAAAGGAAAGGAAAGGAAAGGAAAGGAAAGGAAAGGAAAGGAAAGGAAAGGAAAGGAAAGGAAAGGAAAGGAAAGGAAAGGAAAGGGGAGGAAGGAAGGAAGGAAGGAAGGAAGGAAGGAAAGAAGGAAGGAAGGAAGGAAGGAAGGAAGGAAAATGTTTAATTACTGATTGGAAGATAACATCACAATTTATCAACAATTTCAATGTAACTTTAATCCACCTGTTCAAAAATGCTGTTGGAATTATGAGAGTAGAGAAAACACTATAGCGTTGCACAGTTGATCTTAAGAAATATGACAGAAGAGCTTCGTGAACGCTAGAATTGGAGACTACCACTAAGCACATACTTTTCCACGTGACTGTGACTGTAGTAACAGGAGGGAGGGGACCACATTGGGCTACCAATTCAGGAGCATGAACTAAGCTGATTCACTAGTGAGTGAGTGACAGGTCCCACACACAAACCACACATCCTGAGGAATTCAAATTTGTCATGAAGGAAAAAATACTTGAGGTGACTTGCTATTTGTCCAAAAGTTCAAGCCAAACATGTCAAGGAACTATTTACTCTTTGATTTAACAAACTGACCCATCAGGTATAAAATCTCCATGTTCTAAATGCTAGTGTGTCCAAAGGGGAACCAGAACTTTGGCCAGGAGCAGAGACGGAGGCATACTGGCAGGAGAGGATCACTTTTAAGAGCCATCAATCACCCTTCTTGAGTTAGTTGTGCTCCTGCAGTATTTAGGAGGTCCTCTCTCTCTCTCTTGGGTCATCAATTTCATAACCGATCTTAACAAGTAAACAGAAAAGAAGGGCCCATGAATATGTCAAGATGTCTCAGTATCAGAGCTTAACCTTTCTCATAATCCTGATGGGAGCCACAGAGCAGGGAGGACTCAGCATGCTTCACTAATAAGAAGCACCCTTCACACTGTGGTCTGTAATATAAATGCAAATGCTGGAGCGCAGAATAGATCAATCTAACCACTGAACAACATCACATCACGAAAACAGGAGTCAGAGCCTGAGAGCAAGCTCTGGCAAAGCCACCTCAGATCCTGGCAACAACATGGCCAGGCCATGCGTTGTTTGGCAACTCTGTGCGTTTCAATGCATTTTTTTCAGCAAATGTGGAGACGGTGTTCTCTGCTGATGTAAAGGTTGACTCAGTGATTTATATACTATTTGAAAACCTTTGTTATTAGTTGTTGACATGGTTTTTATCTTCATTGCATCAGGTGAATCTCCTGTGCTTGCAGATATTTTTATAAAAATAAAATTGCCTCTGTGAAAAATTAGTAGCCTGATATACATTGTTTCAAAAGTTGCAAAATCCACTTCCTAATTTAGAGTGTTTAAAAAATGTATTGCTGGAAATCGTGTAGATGGTTCTTAATAAGGAAGAATTACTGATATTTCAATACTGCTGTTATTGCAAGAGCAATTACATCCTGGAGGAAATGAATAATAGGTGTTTCTTTCACTATAACATTTAACTTGTTCACTGACTGAAGACATAAACCATTTAGTTCATTTCACATCAGTTTTTATTATAGCTTATGCCTGGGGAAAAACAGCGTTCCCATGCCCATTGAAGTGTCAGAGTATTCCACCTGCTATGTATGTGCGCATGCACACAGACACAGAGAGAAGTAAAATGGTGT